TATCTTAAATTATCTTTAAGCTACATAGGTGATTACCATATATTCTGTTTTTATTCTACAGCTCGATCATTTGTGATCTCGCTGTTCAACAATCCTTGCATTATCTTTTCTCTCTTTTAATCTATTAAAATTCTCTTTAGCTTCACTTTAATTGCCTATTTTTAATTACTCCCTACAAACTTTTTCTTTCTTTATCTGTTTACACCTGTATTGTATCATTTGAGTGCTTTTGTTTCTTTAAAACCTTGCACTTTTGCACCAGCTTTCTTCGACTCGTCGACTCTTTTAAAATTTCATAACGAAAGTCACATACAGACATCAACTGAGTATCAATGACTTGTAAAAAAGACATGTTATAACTTATGTGTGAACATCGTTTCTATATTTTCTGTATGAGTATATGATTCATGGTTTACAAAATAATACTATAAAAGTCATAACAACAAGCTTCACAGTGTTCACACCAATTTGTTAATAAAAGTGTTAAATGACATAGTTTTTACAATAATTAAGATATTTATATAAATAAAAGTAGTATTATAAATTTTTTGTATGTAAAAGATAACGTGAAAGTACGAAAACAGTAAGTGGTTCTACAAAATATGTTTTTCCAGTTAAAATTACATGATGGTTACAATAGTCCACTGCAGACCTCCAATGAGATACACATGCTTGTTTGTACATACAAACTGTTTTTTTATATAAGTTACGACGCTTCCATATTTACTAGTCTCGAAATGTTTCTTGATAGCCCCCCTTATTTATATTGATAATTATTTCATAGTTTTATACATTACATGTGCACAAATTTTATCTATATAATTCTTACTGATGAACAGCTATTATGCTGTAAGTACAACGAAGTTAATGTTTTAAGCATTTTTATTTGTGAGTGCATCTATCAAACAAATGTAATTATGTGGTAAATTTATTTTTAATTTGTATACTGTATTTTACGGTTATCCTAAAGATGTCAATGAAAGCATTTATAATGCTTTATCAGTTGATAAAGTCGTACATAGTTAAAATTTCTCCGTTTCTTATACATTATTATCCGTATTATTGCTTAAAACAGAATTTATTTAATAAAAAAATTTAAATACTAGGAAGTTAAATGTAGTAAAGTTAGAGAAGACTTTGGAAGACTATTACTTTCAGACTACAAATTTACGATATAATGTAGGAATATATGTATGAATGATTATAAAATATAAATAAAAAATTATGCTTAGTAAATTTAAAAATGCCGAAGTAGTTATTATAGATAGTGAACAGCTATATAAGTAACTTTTTCTTGCAAGAATTTTCTTAAATAGATATTTTATAAAAATACTTTTTTATGATCTCGTTTTCAATTTATTATTTCCATCACTTTTTTATTTTTAAAAACAATTTACCGTCTCATTTATTACTTAAAATCCAAACACACTTTTTTTGCTGTTGTAAACCTCTGTATACTTTAAATAAGAGTATACGGATATTAATAACTTGATTAAAAAGGTAGAACGCAAAAACAATTGAGAATGTGTATAAAAAAAATTTTACCTTGATACATTTATTGAATCAGCTTTGTTTTATACGAAGTAAACGTTTGCACATTGATACAGAAGCTTCTTGTAGAAGCTATGGATATGCGCTGAATAACTGAGTCCGTGACGAGCAAAGTAAACTTGCCGAGCATACAATTCACTTTTTTCTAATTCTTTTTTAATTGCTAAATAGTGTACTGGTGGAAAGGATTTATACTGTATGCATTAGGAAATCTCCTGAGGCATGCGGATCGATACAGGTGGGAAGTAGGATTATTACAGGATAAGCTTCACACTGAGTATAATACACTGAACTTCATGGTAGTATCGGCGAAACTAGGGAGCCCAGTCATCAGAGCAATAGTACAGTCAATTATAAAGCTTATATGACAGAACCGCATTTTTATAGACTATACGTCTAGGTACGCATGCAAACTAGGATAGTCTGTTGAGAAATACTTTAACTGAGAATCTCTGTATAGTCATACTGGTGAGGTCTTGTCCTTTTATAACGTCGCAGTTGATACAAAAAAATTTTGTTTACAATCGATCTTAAGAAATAGATATTATTAGAATTAAGTTAAGGATATTTTTAAGAAATACTTATTTCTTTCAGATATATATATATATATCTTTGAAACCCTTTAACAGAACCATCTCCACTAAATATTCTTCTACATTAAAAAAAATCTTTTTGTTTCTCGTTATCATGTACTTGTAAAAGTCAACACAAATATGTCTGTTGTATTTCTATTGACACGTTATACCTCTCACAACTTTGCTATTTAGTTATTTCGATTTCATAGATTGTATTCATTTTTTTACAGCAATGAAAAATTTTTGATAATATTAGTTTTCTAACATACTTAGTTTGATGTTTAAATTTTCACTTACACTATCTACTCACACAAGAAAAATTCATTAGTTAGACATAAGCATTTATTGTTTTTAGCAATTCTATTGTGCGTTTATCTGTAGTATTATTTCTGAAAATGTTCATATATTATAGTACCTGAAGAGAGATCAGCAATGACAACTTTCATCACATCATATAGATTGTTGCATATGATGATTGCATATGAGCTGCAGCATTTATTGTGCATTACGTCAAGATTCTAATAATTTTAAAAAATCATCCACAGCCTGTTGATTAAAACCATGAGCCCTAGTAGCTAAAGTTAGTTGTGGTAGGAAAAAAGTGTGCCTATTTAGAAAACCTGAAAGCTAGTCCTCACAAGTGAATCCTGAAAGTCATAGATAATTCAGAAATATTTAGGGAAAAAATAGATAAATGGAATTTACAATACATGCCAATCTTACTGTGACACTCCTTGTCATGTACTTAAATTTGTAACTTCGAAACACCCAACTTTACTATAAAATAATTTAACATAAATCCTCAGCGATTTTTAAACATCGAGCTGTATACCTTTTTCTGCAATCAAGTGAAATATAACTTACTTCTTTTGAAAAGAGCTACCGTCACAAAACTCAAAATATGCGTGCAGTTTCCAAGAAACTTATAAAGCACTAATGTTACAATATCAATTTGCACTAATACACGCAGAAATGTGGACAATCAACAATCTTAGCATTCATTAAGAGCAGCGTTTGCTCAGTGGTAAGCGTGCTTGTTACTGATACAACGCGGTTCTAGGAGTCGTGGGTTCGATTTCCGGTGAATGCAGATTGTTTTAAAAACTGTTTTCATCGGAAAAAGTTTCTATTTAACCCCGGCTGTTTCAGGGCGCGTTTTTCCGTGGAATTTTCCTTCAGAGTAATTCCAGGGTTTCTTCCTTGCCCCACAGGTCTTCGGATCTGGGTGAATGTGAAGCAGTGTTAGAACTATAGGTAGGGGTTAGTGGATCCGATGCGATAAGCAAGAATCGCCGGCCTTACCGGTAAGGAGTGGTCCCTGAAACATGGGGCTTCTCCGGGGATGCTAATTAGCCTGGATCTGATGCTCCGGCAGAGAGCGCCGGATTAACCGGCGAGGACTGGACGACCCGAAGTATGGAGTCCTCTCCGGGGAAAGGCTACACAATGGCGAGTGGACCCGATGCACCGTTGGTGCAGAGAGTGTCAACTTAACTGACAAGGTGTTTCACCGGAGATACTCGCACTGTGCCCATGGATTAGGTATAACATCAGTAAAAGGGTTGGAAAATGGGTGCGGCAATACACCCCCACACATTGATGGTGAGTGGGTGGCCCCGGCGACTTGGCCTAAGAGCTGTCGTGGTAACCCGGTAAAAAAAAAAAAATTATAGCATTCATTACTGCGTATGATCCACAAAGAATATAGTACATAATTTCGATAACAACGTGTACTAAAATGTAAAGTTCAAGAGATCAGCCGTTTTAACCATCAACGGTTGTATGCTTATTACCCTACGTATGTGCTTGTGTTAATTAGGAGTAATTAAGTTAAGCTTTGATTGATCGTTTGGATCGTTTGTCACATTAATATTACTTAACACATGTCATATATATCGGTAAATAAAACTTGACACGATAACACTAAGTCAACCAATCTAAAAATAAAGCATACTGTAAGAAAGGTCAAATAAGCCCTTCAAGCCGGCCGTTGGTTCCTGACAAAAAAAATTTCATTTGTTTGTTACTAAATGAATTTACGTTTTTTGTTCTTCACTTAAAAGTTGAAACGTAACAATGGCTGAAAAAATACGGGATAGGTGGCTTTAATTTAAAAATAATTAAATGGGAGTATGTTGCTGCTTACTGCTACAGTTAATTTATTATAATAGGAATACTCCGTTAGCTTGAGGTGTGCCTTAAACGCTTATAAATTTTAATAATCTATCAAAAAAAAAAGGCAATGTGCTAAAACTTCGTGCTGATCAAATGAAACAAAGTAAATGCTTAAAAAAATATTAAAATAAAATCCTTAGTAAGCAATTTTTTTTTACTAATAGCATACGTTTGTTATATGTAGAAGGTTGTGGAAAGTTACACCTTAATATTATTGGGTTCACATAGCGAAAAAATTAAGTTTGTTTTTCTTATTTCGTAGAGATCTGTCTTTCTTATCGCCAGCCACACAAAATAACTTGATAATATAGAAAGACATATTTATTGTTGACTTCTGAATACATTGAGGGCTTTTTTGTTAGTTATTTATTTTAGTTAAAAAAAGGAGCTCTAACATTCTCACATTATGTTTCGAAAATTTTCGAGTAGTTACTATGCTGTAATTAAAATGGACCTACGATGGTAAGTAGTGAGCTTAAAAATGCAGGACTAATTCTTCATTTGTGAACATAAAAGGCACCTAATTTACCACTGTAGCTCGACGTTTTCGTGATCTTCTTACCCGTAAACCTTTATTGTATGAAGTTATAATAACGAACAATAAAATTTTATAACAGCTTTTTATGCAATGAATTCATAAATATTTCGTTTCATAATGCATTTTAATCATGTTAAATATAAATCAAAATAATTTTACAGATAGAGAACGTCAGTTTAGAAATTCAAATGCCAAAAACAGTCTTAAATTGCAATTTGATTCTGAATCAAGGCAAGTACTCTTTTGATTCAGTTAGTAAAGTTTTAAGATGGGATGTTGGAAAAATTGATGCGACAAGACTACCAAATCTAAGAGGCTCTGTAAGTATCATTTTTATTATTCTTGTTTGTTAGTCTGCTTTATTTAATATTCACATGATTCAACGTTAGAATATCCTTCAAGATATAATCAGTTATTGATCCCATGTATTTTAAAATAAAAAATTTAATATCTCTTAAAAGTGTGTCCTGCGTTAAAAGACCAAATGTCCTTAATAAAGAAAAAAATCTTTTTTCCCATATCAATACTTAGAAAATCAAAAGCAGTATAGCAAGTGACAGACCATAAATGGTTTATTACTCACTAAGGTTCGAAAAGTGATGAAAGTTAAATTGTTCATGTATCATTTGTGATGTAAACAATAGTCAATATTTATCATACACAATACATATTGTGTAGCTATCTGTTTCGTTGAATTATTATGCGTAAAATATGGAGAAAAATAAGTGGCTATATTTATGGAATAGACTAAGCTTTCACATGAAAGGCACACAATTGATTATTTACAATAGATACATCACTTGAGCAATAATTTCCATTTGAAACAATGGTAACCAATATGATGCATGTTTCTTAAATGCCTAATGAGTCCTCACATGACCCTCATGAGGTGTTGAAAACGGAACATATTGTGGCCTCTCTTTTGTACATTTCAAACCCTATCCAAATGAGAAAAATCTTTTAAATTCAATTACATATAATGTACTGAAAATACGGCTAATCGTTAAGAATGAGGAGTAGAGGGGCGTTTTTAGAGTTTTGTTGTGGACGTCAGTGAATAAAAGAAATTCAAGTATTTTAACAACATAATAAAAAAAAATTTAGCATATTAGTGTAAAACAGCAGTTTCTTTGAATCACAAACTACGAAATTTAGGTCAGAATCCGAAATCATGATTTTTCAAGATCTTAAAATATCGAGTTCAACAATTTCAAAAAAATTATGTGCTTTGCATATCTGCCGCTTCATCTGGCCTGCTATTTTAGTTTGAGGTGCTCCCGAGGTAGTACAGTTTGGTCAAAAGGACGGCCACGATGCGCTGAAGCGTTGGAGTTAGTTGTGCTCTTGTCCAAGGCCTTTTGGTGTTACGCTGGAGACTTGAATGTTCAAAAGGCCTTCTTCCATGGCACACAGTCATCTTGGTAGTCCAGGGTGTATAATAGACACCCTCGTGTTAATCACACCAGCTAATTCTCTGTATACTATTTAGCTTGCCCAAAGCGATCGTGTTTTTACTAGCTATACGTGGTAACCCGACCACAGATGTTTTATTTTAATATTGGATTACCTTACATCAGCATATTCTTAAAAGTTTTGCGGTCGTTTTGTAGCTACGATGATGGTAAAAAAAAGGGAGCGTGGTGAAAGGAAAAAAAAATAGTTCCTACTATTTATAAATTTGCGGATTTTTGTGTAGTATAATATTCCATTTGCTTTCTGAAAAGTGGAGATCGAAAAATATTTTCACAAATTCTATCCTTTTTTTGCCGACTGGGTTTTTGCTTGGTATTCTTGATAATTACGAGAGAAAAAATTATGTTTATGAATTTTGTCGACGAACTAAAGCAGCTATCAGTGTTAAGCTCTAGTACTCGATTACCTCATTTTTTTGCACCGTAATATTACATTTTATGTTTATAAATGCTCGGGGAAATTTTATCAATGGTAGAATAATATGACGAACAGGGAGTAAAGGTTCTATCAATGGGTAAAACGGTAAAGATAGTGCCTCGTAATAGTGTACCGAAAAAATTATAGTATGGTAGCAGCTACAACATTTAAAAACATACATCTCCACGATTAATTAAATGCACATAGTTATGCGTTGCACACATTCACGTTTTGTAAGAGTGATTCTAGCCCACAGCGAGTATATAGCTCAACCAGTAAAATGTAGTATGTGTCTTGTGGGGCACTACCAGGCATATACGATAGAAGTGTGGCTGTTGCTATGTGCCATAATTTTTACTGTAGCGGCAAATCACGTCATGAGCCATGTACGAATTGCCAAAATAAATTAAATGGTCGTACGATTCTACCACCACGTCGTTGTGCTAGCTTTTTAAAATGGATCACAGTCACGTGAATAGTATGCGTATTGCCGAAACTAACCGATCATTCAGGTGACCTATCTCTTATAGTAGAGGTTCCTACTTTTCACATCATTTGTTAATTTTTTTATTTTTCAGTATTATTTTATATCATTTATAAGGGAGGTTACGTTCTGACAATGGGTTGAAGGGGGGAGAAAGAGCATAATAGTACCGCACAGAAAAAACTATGGCTTAGTAGCAACTACCATGTGTAAGAACATACTTACTTCAGAGTGATTAGATTCGATTTAATAGTATAACGTACCCAAAAAAATCAATATGTCCACGGTTGGCAATCCGCGCATCGCTCGCGTTACTGCAAGTGCTTTTAAAGAGCTAACTTGGATCTAGGTGGCCAGCTAGATGGATCGCGAGGCCAATTAGTTTGTTTCAGCGATTTAAGCGCCGTTCGCGTATCTGCAAAGCTAGAGTACTAGACGACTAGAGGTTTCACCCCCTCCCCTCGCTGATTTTTAGAAAGCTAATGCGACGTTGCGGTGATAGGCCATATAATTTTTTAGTTTATTTTGGCGACATTCTCATTGACACCTTTAGACATTAACTGTGCAAGAAGACAGGCAAAACATATTTTATAATTCTTTTTAATGAAGCATGCAACACGCGCCAAGGACTAACCTTTGTATGCTTGGTGGGACAAATATCACACGTCCTATGTACAAATTTGAACAGTGTGTGTTATACAGGCGCGTAGATGTGTTAAAACAATAAAATGTCAGGTAGAGTTGGCTAATTGAAGAAAACAAACTGTTACGGGTATAGTGGCTCAGTGGTTTACGCTACAACTCTTGTTCCTCAAAGAGTTAGTAATATATACTTACGAGTTTAAGGCCCAATTTTCACTCATTTAGTTCAGAAGCCCACTGATGCAACTATGATCTGGTAGTAGCTACCTCATTAAAGAACGTACGCTGCCATGATTATTTTAATACACATAACCTTGCGATGCATACATTCATCTTTTGTAAAAGTGAGTCTAGCCTATGGCGAGTATACGGCTCGACTAGTTAAATGTACTATGTGTCTTATGCTCTTGACCAGGCAAATACAACACAGTTATGGCTGTTGCTATGTTCCACAGTTTTTTCACTACATCAGCAAATCGCTTCGAGAGTAACGTAGGAATTGTCAAAATAAACTACTTGGTGCTTGGATCTTTAAACAGAACATACTAATCAGATGACGGAAACGTGGAGACTTTACTGCAGGTTTTCACTTTAAATATCTGATTAACTTATGTCAGCACGTTTTGAAAGGTGTCGTTACGAATGTTATACTTTTTGCGTCACCATAAGTGTAACTTGACTACCCACTTCAAGAAAGGGTAACGAAATTCTATGTGTAATAACTTCAGGAAAACCATACGGCATTGCATGTAGTTTTACATGTAGCTTTACATAAGGGGTTGTGGAGTGATAGTGCCATGTGTAACTCTTTACGGAAAAATAAATGGTATTAAAAATTAAAAAAAAAAAGTTTTGTCATCTTATTAAAACCACATGTTACGTCGTATGGCTTCCCTAAAGTAAGTACACATAAAATCCCGCCATATTTTTTCTCAGTAGGTATTAATAATATTTACTCATTTATCCCAGTAGGTATTCAAGCTAATCTTATAAGCTATGTTCGCTATTAATGCATGAGGGACGGCGTTCTAGCGTTGATGATGCACTGGACGTCGAGGGGAGAAGGGTGGGTATCGTTATGCACAAAAACAAGACACTCAAATGCAGCAAGGTAGATTCGGATCAACTTTATTTTTCTTCTTGCACGTGGTCTTGTTACAGAAGTGATGGAGAAGCTCAGCGTGACAACGTCTGGATCTCGCGCTTGATGTTCAACGCTGACTGGCCTCAACGACGTGAGGCTCGGAGCACAGTCCACACTCTCCCTCTAGCGCGACGCATGCGCTTCAGGCACACTGCACGCCTGGAGCACTCAGCTCGAGTAGCCTCCGATACACTCACACATACGTGGCATCAAGTGCTTGATGTCATACATGCTCCCCGAATCGATGTACAGAAGGCGAAACGAACAAACATCAAAATGACAAAAAAATGAATGAATATCTTTAGGAAACTCTCACAGCGAGTTAGTAAAGAATAGAATCAATTGAAATAATAGTACGCATTACATAAAAATACCGTGGGGCGCTTTCACTTACAATCAGAAAAAACCATAGGTACAGTTTTAGCGCCTGAGAAGGGAGAAGGAAAACAAAGATAGTTCCCGTTTTTATTCAGGTTCAAATGTACTCACTCTTATCATTAATTAAACAACAAAACTAAATTCGAATTAATAGAAATCGCAAAAAAAAAAAAAAAAAAAGAAACAAGACATAAAATAACGAAAGATGCTGAGGTCAAGCCACAAGTACAATAATGGTACAACTTAGTAATTAATTAAACCTATGTAGTGCCCGCTGATTCGATCTCGCAGACGGTCCGTAGCAGAATTAACTTATGGATAAACCTAGTTAATTGAGTCTTCTGAGTTTTAATCAAAACAAGATCTTCTATTTCTAACGACCTTCGGGGGGAAACCCACTTCTCTCGAGTTTGGAGGGAGTTTAGGTACTTTGCTGACCACCTGCGCCTAAAACACTGGACAGCTTGGGACATTAGCTTCCACCGGTGCAGGGGTGATATATGTTTAGACGTCAAGTCCGGCTCTGGTATCGAATAGGAGGGCTTAAACATCAAGAAGTGAGAAGGCGTAAGGGGACTCAGATCCGTGGGATCGTCAGTCAAAGGCGCCAGGGGTCTTGCCTTAACATTGCGTTTAATTCTCGGTCGGCTCCTACAAAATTAGTGTCCCTATCACTGTATAGATCAGTGCATTGACCTCGTCTAGATGTAAACCGTTGGAAAGGCGCAATAAAGGAATCGGAAGTGTAATCTTCGACGACTTCCAGATGTACAACTCTGGTA